TTAGAATTGGAGACTCCTTTCCATAGGTTACTACCATTCCATATACTGCATGAAGCGTCATTTGAAGAGGCATAGGAGACTGGTTTGTCAAAGGAAATCACTAAAGTGTACTAGCCTTAAAATGTGCGTCTTTCTTACAAAGGTTACTTATGTCACTGCTTTAAAAGTTTTGAATCTACAGTACATCATTCCAAAGGTTCTTTTTGCACTTTCTTCTTCTTTTCGGTTAGTGTTGTAGATGTTAGACATTTATGCTTAAGGTGATGTTGTTAATTTGGACTGGTTCAATTTTTTAAGTAGTTGTTCTTTGATGTTGCATTATTTGTTTGATTACTGTTTATTGGGACACTAAAGGTCCGATTGCACAGAGCAATATTACAAGCTACTTAGCCGAATTTTTATTTGCAGCTCGTAAACTACCCCACTGTACTCAAAACACTTTGTCAATAGCTGCTATTCAAGTAGTCAACTTTGAAAAAGTTGACTCTGTCAGTTGAGTTGAAGTAGATTCCTAGTAAAGCATGTGTTGGATGGTAATTAATTACCATATTTACTGAAGCTGTTAGTGGGCCAAGTTCTATGTTTAAACTTTATGCAGACCTTCTCAACTGTGTGAATCTACACACTGTGCACCTATGCTGATTATTGGGCATAAGTGCACTGTGTTTTGCACTTAGCATGGTGAGCATAGGTGATCAATAGTTTACCCTAAGGGGTAGATTCAATTGATCGAGCTATTGCAAGGGTGAATGAGCAACACTGCCAGGACATTAAGTGTTATACTGAACAGAGGTCTCAACATTCATTCATCATATCACTTGCGTTTCCTAGCTGGCTTTGGATGGACTGCAAGTCTGAAATGTTAAATCTTTTTGCTAAATACAACTAAATTAAAGCTGCTTCAAAAATTCCTTTTCAGTGCTTTATTGATGCATACTTAGGGAAATGGCATCAGAAATGAGGCAATGGACAGGATTCAAAGACTGCAGCAAAGGTTGTATTTGGTTCTCAGAAGCATAACCACATACTGTATCTGCACTTTTGAAAAAAACTGTTTTGTGTTTACCTCAGCAGCCTTGAGTAGGATGAAAACCTGCACTATAGTATGAGTACCGACCGGAAAAGGAACCGGTTAACCTGGTGGAACAGAGACTATAGGTCGGCCGCTTAGAAAGCGACCTCCTCCAGCATTGGTTTAGCATTAGCGCGCAGGTCGTTTTCTAAGCGGCCGAACTATAGTTCCTTTTGACCAGGTGTTTCAGGGCAAACCCAACAGAACAAGCAGCTTCCCAAAGTGAGATTTATACTTTGGGCTTAAGTTGTAGGGGTGTCCTTGAAAATGTACCCATCCTAACATTCAAATAGTCTAGGTTGAAGACAATTGCATATCCCTCTGTATCAACAGTAATTGGCCTTTTTTTATCAAAGTAAACAAATAACTGTTTTGCAAATTTACGTTGTTAGTTTTAAGGTAGAATTATAATTTCCTTACAAGTTCTCCAAAGCAGTCTGAGGAACACTATATATATTAGAGGATGTAGAATTTTTAATAAATATCTAATAGTGATGTATCCAGTATTATCATTGATAAAACATACTATCTTAGTAGATTTCTCATCCTAATGGAACAGCTGAAGACAATTTTATTGTTAGTTCTGTACGGTTTATGTAGAGGTCGTGTTTTGTTTACAATTTGTTTCCCGTTAATACAGTCATTTAAAACCTCGATTAACCAAATAATACGATCTAATCATAAACAATATATTGTCCCCTAGCTATTTAATCAAACAGTAAAGCACAAATCAAGAAATTAACCCTAAAATAATAGAAACAAAATTTCGTCGACACTAGCGCCCAGTGTGGCGTACATGAACTAGACATGAAAACGAGCTTCAAAATTTACAATGGGATGAGAAGTCTACTTGTGGTTGGTTAGTCTATGGTATTATCTTAATGTATATTTTGTTGTTTGTGCTGGTTGCCTGCCTAAGTATCTTGTTTTGAGTGTCATGAGAGGACCATACAACAAAATTAACTGAAAGTCTAAGCCAAACTCAGAGGTGAGCATCCTATCAAGGTCCTCATTATTAAGTAGAACTTAATAAAAATGTTAATACAGGCAAAATTTGTTTCAGTGGAGTTTTTACGTAATTGTAAGTGTAAGGTCCAAGCCCTTTTCTTAGTAACGTCAACCTTTTGTCAAATGATATAATTGATTTATTCCAAAGACCAAGCATCCATGTTCATAATCAAACCAGTAATTTTCACATTTTAGGGTGATCACCATAATCGCTTGGCTTCTCAGACATATCACAGTATGATTGTTTGTAAAATAGGTTCTCTACAACTCTGTAAACTTTCATAATCATATTGTGTGTGATATTAAGAGCTGTGTAGTAGATTTCTCACCCCATGGTAAATTTTGAAGCTCGTTAGTTTCAAAGAAATTTTGTATCTATTATTTTAGGGTTCGTTTTATTATTTGTGCTTGACAAAGCATTTATATTACCAAGCTGTTATGTAACGAGGAAACAAGTTTTTATGATTAGATAAATTTATTAGGTTAAATGAGGTTCTAAATTACTGAAATAACAAGAAACAAATTGTAAAAAAAAACACAATCCCTACAGTGCACCAGACAGAACTAACAATAAAATTATCTTCAGCTGATCCATAAGGATGAGAAATCTACTAAGGGAGTAATGTTTGAACTTATCAAATGAACTATGACTGTATTACTGTGTGAGTGTAAAATCCTTTATAGCCAATTTTCAAATAGGGAATAAGATATTACCGTAGGTCTCGACCTGGACCCAGGACCGATTTTAGTTACTTTTTTTGTGATGTTCCAAGAGGCCAAAAACACCATCCATTCATATGTGTGTGTGTCGATAAGCTGATGGCAACAATGTGTGCACACTTATGGCCTAACTCACCAGCCAGCAACAGCAGTGCGCCTAGATTCTGGTGTAGACACTATCAGATTCAATGCAAAATCTATTGTTTGTTGAGTTCTGGGTTATTTATTTTGTGTCAAAGAATAGTTGGCACAAATCCTTGATACAACCTTGCACAACGAATCTATAAGAAAAACTGGCCAGTTTTTTAAAAAAGCAGCTATTACATTAGTTACCAATACACTCATTACAGTTTGTATGCAAAATAAACCAGTTGCTCTGCCAGTGCTTTGCAACAAAATGACAATACAAAAGAGAATAATGGGGCTTTTTAAATGAATTTAATTTTAATTTATACAATTTTCCTACGCTAAGTGTTTTGCCAAAGATACGTTTCGGGAGGTAAAGATACTCCCTCTTGTTTTCAACTGACTATAACTATTGTTAACTTCATATTAGTTTGGTTTGTGGGATGTGCATGGTGGTGTCCCTGAGTGTGTTGTGGTTTTCTTTTCAGATCAGATTGGAGGCATTGGACTGATAAGTATACTTGTGTACTGATAAGTAAATGTATGTGTGTGTATTTGGGTACTAATTGTAGTTTCTATTGTGTGTTTGGTTGTGTTAGGTTTTTGTTCAATTGTTTTTTAGGTTATGTAATGTAAACAATTTCATCAATTTATAAAAAAAAAACATTAGGTAGGTTAGGTTAGATAGGGTAGTTAAGTAAATAAATGTAGATAATAGTTTGACACTTGAAAATGGGAGGAGTTTCATTACCTAACAAAACGTAGTATAGTCAAAACACTTGATGTAGGAAATGTCCAAAAACTAAAATAGTTATGGACAACTATAACCTTTTGAACTATGAACCTTAAAAACGCAGACTTTAAATATACTATAAAAAACCGTTGCACGCTCACTATCATTACTATTATTTCAGGGACAAAACTCAATCATACTTATTGCTTATTTTAATAAAAAATCTCTTTGGTTTATGTATTTCCAATCAGTTGTGTGCCAGAATCAAAACGTATAACTTTAATGTAAAAATAGAAAATCTGTAATAAGAATCTATAACACAGGAAAAAGTAAACAATCAATAAAAAACAAAAACAAATGTAACAGCTGTTGCATATTAACTGTTTTAAATGTGATTAAATACAAGCCTTTAATTAGGTTTGTGCTCTTAGGATATGGTTTATCGTTTCCAGGAAAGTTTTCATCAAGACTTGTAGTGAATTTCCCTATAGGGAAGTAGCTATTACCGTAGGTGGCACGGTAAGACCTAGGCCCGGGACCGATTTACTTTTTCATTTTGCTGTCCCCAGAGGCCAAAAACACCATTCGTTCAAATTTTTATATATATATATATATAGATTTATATATATATACGTCCGTGAACGCGATAACTTGATTAATTTTTGTCCAATTTTGATGAAATTTGGTTTAAAGGTGTAATGCGGGATAAACTTGAATGAGTTTGCGAACCAGCATGATCGGATCATGGGAACGGGGTTTTACAGGGGGTTTTATGGGGTTAAAAATGGTTTTTCAAATTTTTGACCCTCAAAACACAAAATTTCCCAATTTCTCTCTAGACCTTTTCAAAGAGCTTAAAAAAACAAATAATTTAGTTTATCAAGGGTTTTTTTTACGGTAATTGGTAACGGAGAAAATTAAAAAAATTTTAAATTTAAAATTCTCATGTTATTCTTATGGAGAATATTGTAAAATGTTGCTGTTTGCTTGTTTATGGATATATTTTGATCAAACTGGGCAAATTTATTTATTTTATACTTAGCTATTAATATTTTCCAAAAAAAAAAAAAACATTGATTAGTTTCCTTATAGCAGCAAACCTAGGTACTCATTAAACCTTAAGTTATTTAAATAGATTTAATTAAAAAACCAATTCAGACTAATGGAAATTCGCTTAGTCGGCAGGTTTGCTGCGGCGGGGGTATTTATTCAATGCCTGATTTGTGTGCACCCAACGGTTTGCTCAAAATTTGTGTACCTAACTAACTTTAACATATACAGATAAGATTGTACAAGTACTGTTGTTAACTGGTTTTTATCAAGACACATGATCAATGTCCAACACTTTATTTTCAATAGTAAAACATATAAAACCAACACCCAAATTGTAAAACATAACATCAAATTGAAAGAAGTGAGTTAACAATTAATTGTGACGGATGTAAATTCAATAAAATATTGCTAAAAAACAACCTTGTTAAGGCAGCTCCAGATATGCGCCATTCCCCAAGCACAAATTATTTGATGTTCGGTGATCTAGTTGTCTTTCTATTCGTCGATTAACGAAACACGTGTTGTTTCCCGAGCAACTGTTAAGTTTTTTTTATTTGTTTTAGGAATAGCAAATATTCATTCACTTTGATGTGTGCAAAAATACCGATAATGAATGGGAAAACACGAGCAAGAATGTTTGCTCCTTGCCAAATAGACAAACACTTATCCACACTACTCGCGATTTGGCAAGTTGCTGCTCAGTGCTTGGCAAATGGCGCATACCTGGAGCCGCCTTTATGTAGGTAATTACAAATACCAATACCAAATAATATACATGAAGTACTGGAACAGAAAAAATTATGATTTAAAAGTTAGATGAAGTTACAATACAGTATCCCACTAACTTAAGTAAAAATCAAATAAAGTAAGAGTGATATTTACAAATACCTTATTACCATAATTGTAAAATGATGATTGAATTCAGACATCCCAAAGCTAATTTTTCGATATACAAATCATTAGACCTAGGTTTTATTTTATTTTAACCACATGGAAGAACCTGAGAAATAGTAGTATTAATTAATTTTCCTTTCCCTTAAATACTAGGCCTATTGGATTTTGCATTTTAACATAGGTCTTACCTTACAAAATATATTTAGGATTGGTGCAATGATAATTATATAAAACGAGCATGTAAGTGTGAAGTAAGGCACTTTTGAAAGCCCTTGTTGGATAGTACACATTGATAAACACAAATATCAGTCATTATAGCAGATAGGCCTAATATAATTAAAAATTGTTGTAGGTCTAAGCAGTATTTATTACAAACGCTTAAATATTTCTGTCATTAATAACAACGTCAGATACTAAAAGGAGTTAACTACCCTAAGCTGTTGGTTTTTTGTGCAAGTCTTCAAAAGGTGTTTAAAAAAACTTGGTATGGATGGTAGAGAAACAAAGTTTACAGTTGGCCTACAATATAGATAACCAGTGATAGGGTAATCATCAAAAACACAAAGTCCACTGCTAATGTTGGTGGGAGCTGATTAAATTCTTCTTTGGCAATTTTCAGATCAGCTGGACCAAGAGATGATGCAATTTCGCCCTCAGTTGTTTGACTGGGCACTTTGGTAGTACTTAACAGACCAGTAATTTGTTTGTCAACTGAACCAACTGATAATGCACGTTTGCTCTCAATTGTTTGACTGGTCACTTTGGTAGTACTTAGCAGATCAGTAATTTGTTTGTCAACTGAACCAACTGATAATGCACGTTTTCTCTCAATTGTTTTACTGGGCACTTTGGTAGTACTTGACGGATCAGTAATTTGTTTGTCAAGTAAACCAACTGATAATGCACGTTTTCTCTCAATTGTTTTACTGGGCACTTTGTTAGTACTTGGCAGATCAGTAATTTGTTTGTCAACTGAACCAACTGATAATGCACGTTTGCTCTCAATTGTTTGACTGGTCACTTTGGTAGTACTTGGCAGATCAGTAATTTGTTTGTCAACTGAACCAACTGATAATGCACGTTTTCTCTCAATTGTTTTACTGGGCACTTTGGTAGTACTTGGCAGATCAGTAATTTGTTTGTCAACTGAACCAACTGATAATGCACTTTTGCTCTCAATTGTTTTACTGGGCACTTTGGTAGTACTTGGCAGATCAGTAATTTGTTTGTCAACTGAACCAACTGATAATGCACTTTTGCTCTCAATTGTTTTACTGGGCACTTTGGTAGTACTTGGCAGATCAGTAATTTGTTTGTCAACTGAACCAACTGATGATGCACTTTTGCTCTCAATTGTTTTACTGGACACTTTGGTGATACTTTGCAGAAAAGCAATCTGACCATCACCTGACAATCCTCTTCTTTTACTATGTTCAGCACCTTTAAGATGTGTGATTACATTTTGAATAGAAGTATCATCACTATCTGTTAGAGGTATCATACATGTACACAAAGCACAAAAAGCATTTCCACTTTGTGCTGTCAAAAACATGTGATTAGCTTGGATGTATTTGCTGGAAAGTTGTCCTATTTTCAGAATGTTTTCAATCTCATTCAATAGTTGTTTCTGATGTTTTTTACCGTTGATGTGGATTGTAATATTTTTCTCAAACACCTCTATTAAGGGTAGTTTTCCAAATTTCCCTTCAATATTACAAAGTTTGCATTTGTACCCGTCATTAAGACTTTCAAAATATTTAACACTCCACAGAATAGACACATTTGTTTTAAGAACCGTATTATAAATTACATCTTTGACATTGTAAATGCGTTTGTTAAAGTGGTTGTGGCCATGTATTAGTGGTCCCTTTTGATTCTCCTCCAGCCTGAGATTTATCTGTGTACTTGATAGATTTGATGGTTTTACATTCTCTGGGTCAAATTGGCTTTCTTCACACAACACTGACTTAGTTAAAACATGGGAATGCAAATTATCTATATTTGACTCAACAGTCACAGAACAAGATAAACAATGAATAGTTTGTCCTGCTACTACAAACTTGTGATTTTTATTCCCATCAATATTCAAAGCATTCCATTGTTTCAAAAGACTAACAGCTTCCAAAGCCCGTTTGTGACGAGGGGAGTTTAAATGGGATTTAAAACAGTCCAATAGTTCAACGTTATTTTCACTGTACAAAATTGCTTCGTCACACAGTTTACACAAATAGTAGGGACTCATTTTAGATTCAATTATATTCATATTTTCTTTTACGAGAGGATCAGTCAGTGCAAGAGTTTGTAGAATAACTACAGCCTTGTTGGCCTGCCCGATATTACTCTTCATTCTTGCATGGGTTTGGCTAGCATTATGTGCAACAATATCAACTACTGTTTTATGAAGGTTATTTGAACATAGATTTATTTTGCAACTGCACAGATTGCAAACAAGAGTGGAGTCGTAAAAAGAGATAAAATTCATTTGATCTTGTAACTCGGATGGTATTAAAGTCTTGATAACAAAAATAGTGTTGTCTTCATGTAATTTAGTTTTTAGGTGTAGTGCAACAGATGACACACCTACTGGTTCAATAGTTAATCCACAGGGATTACAAAAAGCTTTGCAATCCTTTTCTGATATGAAACTTTCATGAGCTTGCAAACTTGGCATATTATGAAAGATGTTTTTGATGATAAAACTAATCTCCTTCCTCCCTTTTGGTTCTTTAGAATTATCCTTCTCAATATTTGAATTTTTTAGAATTTTGTGGTTTTGAACATGTAGTTGAAATGATAAAATAATGTCATTATTTATTATTTCGATGTCCTTATTACATTGGTCGCAACGTTTTGCTTTTGGTAATGAGGTATTATACACGTTTTCTTCAGGGCACTCCAAACTTCTATTGATTGCTTCAAGAGATATATGTGATTGTTTGTGTAAATTCATGGAAAATTCAAAGTCGCCATTCAGTACTTCTATTTGCTTACCGCACTCTGGACAGCTATTAACCCAAGATGAACAACTTGCCATGGTGATACTTTAATTAAGCTTAGTTTGTTGCACAGAACAGGACCTGGAAAAATAGAGTAATTTCAACATCAACCCCCATTGTAATTTTTTCAATGAATTGTATCTTTCCTTGTTCTCTTTGTCTAGTTTATACATAGGTATCTCATATTTTGCATTTGATGTATTGGGCCTAAAGCATTGCAAAATCAGTATATTTTTTTATTATTTATTTGTTCAACTGGCCTGAGCGTAGGAGATTCCAAATCACAAGAATCTGGCCAATTTTACATGTCTACGAGTACACACTGAATTGGAAAAAATCTAACAATACATCCTTGATGAATTTATATATATATATATATGTGTGTAACATTAAAGAATACAAAAATAATTTTCTTAAACTAATTACCGTAGAATGTGATTTGCATAATTTTAAACCAATACTAATTTGACCAGACAGAAATCTTACAAGTTTAAAATTAGGAGTTGCACAATTTCCTAGAATAACAATGATTCTTTGTTATGTACCATTAAGGATCGCTAAAGAAAATCTTTGCTATTATTAGAGTTTAAGTTATGTACATTAAAAGAGTTTCCAAACCGATGTTTTGAAAGTACCATAGTATTAATCGGTAGTTAAGTTACATTGTAAAACAACAAACTTTACAACTAACTGTTATTAAAGTTAACAATTAAATGTTTGCAGTTTCTAAGAAAAGTCAGTGACGATTTGATTTGAAGGTCAAAGATGGTTACAATTCTGTAAATGTTGCAATATGATAAATTTTCATTCTGTACATTTGTTGATATGCTACTTAATAATTTGACTGATTCATAAAATTTATTTTACAACAGAGTATTCTCTACTGCCTAGCAAAACAAAAATGTGATCTAATAAACACTTTTTCAAAGCTTACAAAACTTATACACGCTGCTAAATAGTTAGTTGCATTGTTAATGAATAGTAAGTACTTCAGTAGTAGTACTGGGTGATTAGCAAAATATGTTTACCTTATCAACATGTAAAATAACTGGCAATTAACACAACCAGAAGAGTTTGACTTAGTTTTTATACAAGATTCAGAATTTCCCCTCTTTCCAGAGCATTCCAATAACGTCCTCCAACTTCTTCAATTGCTGATCGAAGGCTGCGGCATTCTGATGGGAAGACGCAGATGGCATACTTGCTTTAGATTCCAACTTATTTTTGTGCGCAGAGCCTGATAAATGGACTTCTAGGTTGTGTCTAAGGCGATCAGCATTAGACATAGATATTTGACAGGGGCATAATGTACAGATAACGGTATCATTTCTTTTCTCCAAGAATTTTCTACTGTTTCTCACTATTTCGCTATCGATCTGCATTTTGTCAAGCATCATACTAAACTCACCGGCTACATTCTTCAGGTGTTTCTTACCATTAAAATGGCTCAAAAAGTTTACTTCGAGGAGATTAATGTCAAACGAAGCTTTTATTACCGCTTTGCATAGTTGACAAAAATAATCCTCATTAGTCTTGCATATGTACTTGCTATTTTTCTTGATTTCTTTATGGTTCTTCTTAAGATCTTCAAATATAGCTTCTGGGTCGATAGTAGGTTTTCCCACTACATTTTTTAGTTGAATCTTTCCAAATCTCTCAACTGATGATTTATGATAACCACCTTCAAGATGTTCGATTAAACAGTTCTTGTGTCTTGAAATCCTAATGTAGCAGATTTCACAATAGATAAAATTCATCCCCTCTGGTGCCTTGATATATTGCAAATCTTTTTGAAAGGTCATGGGGATTACATCAAAGAGTTCCTTCACCAAACAGTCGCTATGCCTGGGTAACAATTGACACATTTCCTGTTTAAGCTGGATTTTGTTCAAGTGATCTTGATTGTCAATATGTAGCAGAATGTTTCTTTGCAGGTTTCCATCTTCTTGAAAAATAGTCCCACATAGAACACAGATGTACTTGTCTTCACCATTATACCTAACAAAGTACTTCTTATTTTCAGCTAACCGTGAATGATAAATGGATGGCGAATAAAACTCAATGCCAGAGTTTGGATTAGTTGTTACCTTTTCTTGACCACGAAGTCCTTTGAGTTTCTCAGCTATATTACTGTTAGGCCTACTAGCAGACGATTTTGATTCATTTTCTTTCTTTTTGTGACTATTTCCATTAAAATGGGTTGTCATATTGTAAGTTGTTGGTGGAATTGTGCAGTTGCAGATTGAACACACAGCCTCTCCTTTCTTATTCATTGTAACCATGTTTTGAAACTGAGCAGGTAAACTCATCACTAACCTTTTAACTGTGGCTGATACTTTTGGTATTTGATTTTGTTGAGCCAAGGATGGCTTGTTTATAATCTCTTCTGATTGAGTTTTCATATTTATTTTACTTTGTGACGAATCAGTTTGAGTATGAGGTGTATTCATAGTCTTTTGAGCAGCATTAGACTGCGCTGGTTCTTGCATGACAAAATTCATTCTGACATGAGACAGAAGTTGATCAAGGTTTGCTTCAATATTACAATTGCAGCTTGAACAGTAAATATTTTGTTTCTTTACGGCAAAATTGTGATTTTCTTTACCAGGGATGTTCAAACCACTCCATTTCGACAAAAGCAAAACAGCGCTCAGATGTTTGGTGTGAGCTGAAGAATTAAAGTGAGCAATAAAATTTGATGCCATCTCCTTATCATTCTCACAATATGCAAGTTGCTTTTCGCATGGTTTACACTTGAAGTAGGGATGCATGCTGTGTTCAATAAAATGTTGGTTTTCATTAATTATAGGGTTCATGAGAGCAAGACTTTTTATGATAAGTAAAGTTTTATCAGTACTATTGCCATCATTAGTTCTTTGACATGAGTGACCTTTCCCTGCATTGTGAATGACTATACTCATTGCAGTCTTATGTAGGTTATCAGAGCAGAGATCGATTTTACAGCGGCATAAATTACAACAAAGATTTGAGCCATAAAAAGATATAAACTCCATTTGTTCGTGTAGCTCTGAACTAAATATTCTTTTGATTACTGAGATCGTGTTGTCTTCATGTTGCTTTGTTTTCAAATGTTCACTCATGCTAAAAATGGGATCAATTATTATTTCACAAAGGTTGCAAACAGCTTTACTGCAACCTTTTTCAGAAATGAAACTGCGATGGGCCTTCAAACCTTCAGGCATTGTATGGAAGATGGCGTCTAACATACTTGTTACCACAGGCTGAGGTTGTTGTTTCTCTTTTGTCACTTCTTGAGATCCCTTAGTTTTTTTACTAGAGGTAGATGAATGATCTGACAAAGCATCTGTATTATCTCCTTTGTGTTTCTCAGCATGTCGTTGAAAAGATAAACTGAAGTTGTTATTGATAATTTCAAAACTTTCATTACAATCGTGACAGTAGTTCAAATTCAGTTTTGAAGCATTATCTATCTTTTCAATTGAGCGGTTAAGGTTTCCGTCCAAAGAGTTGTTGACATAATCTAGTGATTTATGTGATTGGTTGTGCAGTTCCATGGAAAATGCAAAATCGCCGTTGAGAATTTCTACATGTCTTCCACATACTGTGCAAATGTTGGCCCACGTTTTTCCACTAGCCATGATGTTGTTTCTAATATTTTCCTTTTATATTTTTTGTAGCACTGGTCATAAAACCTGGAATAAAATACCTTGTTACAAAACTTTAATGAGAGAACCTTTTCCAGGTAAAAATATCTACTGATCCTTGTAGAGAAGTTTTCTAGGCCCATTCTACACGACCGGGAAACCTGCAACAGGATTTTCCCTTTGGTGCCACACGATCGACAGGGACCATTGAGTTAAATTGAGGTGTCTACACGAACGGGATTCACGACGAGAATAGACGCAGGTAGGCAGGGGCGCTGAGTTGACATCGACATCCGTGTCAGACCCGTGTCGGGAATTCCATTCAGCCATCCTACACGTAATGGTATCACCGCGCACAGCAGCAGATAACTTCACATAATACTGTCCAGTTGTGCGGGGTAACACGATCCGGTGTGATGTTCGATCATGAATGTAGCATTAAATTTGTTTTCATTTCTCAAACATTTTATATTCCTTTAGTCACAAGTATTTTTGTTTAAACTATAAAAATAATCAGTCAACTAGTAAGTTAGTAATGTGTTTGACATTTAGTAAATTTAATTTATTAACATAAATTACAATAGATATTCATTTGTAATTGAAGAGTAAATACAAAGAATAATCACAATAGTACAACCATAATTCGTTCCATAAAATTAAAATTGCAAATTATTTGTTGGAGATAAAGCGACTTTGTATGCATTGAAGTTTAAGTAAGTTATATAGGAAATAAATAATTAAGGATAACTAGTCCAAATTTCTGGAGTTGGAGATCTACAGGCATAAAACCGAGCTCCACTGTGTCCTGCATCTGAACCGCCTCAAGTAGAATGGCCCCCAACGGGTTTCAAGCGGACTAGATGTAACAGGGATCCTGCTACATGTAGTTTGCACAACATTTTCCCGCCGTCACGAGACGGTCCTGTCCCGAAATTCACGCTCGTGTAGAATGGGCCTTGAACATGGTGACCAAACTTAGCTTGTGCTAAAAAATGTTTTTATGCTAAATATTCACCATTTTGTTTAGAAGTTTTAACACTTTTCATAAATGAATTTACGTACTAATCTTAACATAACAGCTACCTATTTTTAATTATTTATTAATCCTAATGATTATACTTACACAGGCTTAATAGAATCAACATTCCAGACATTACTCCATGCCGTGCTTGTATCACCCAAGATTACCAAATTAATTACAATTTCAAAACAAATCTAACTGAATTGAATTACACTTCACTGAGAATATGTTCCAACGGCTGAAACTATTCATGTTATATTCTTTTCTATTCATTTACCACTAGATAAGCAGCGTCAGATTACAAACAAGATAAAAACAATTTCAAATGGCTTTATTAAAAAAAAAATGATTACAGTAGACCCCCTCTTAACCGACCCTAACGGGACCGGACCTAGGTCAAATAACTCACAAGGTCAGTTGAAACAGGCATCCCTAAAAAAATTGAAGTGCTATTATTTGGAAAGTTAATGTTATTGTTATTATTCTAATGTAACGACTCCAGGTAGGTCTAATTGAATTTAGAATCAACAACTTAATTCACACATTTCTTTGAACAAATAGGCCTATTGTGATTTTTTATTGTTGTTGTAAATTTTATATTATATCTTTAGGATTTGAATTGTATGCTATTTGGCCAATATACTTGCAGGCAAAAAGGGTCTTTGTCAATGAATAACTTAAATAAATGCTGAATCAACCTACAAGACAAGATATGGCTGTAATTTAACAAAACCACTCAGTTTTTTTTTACTATCACAGAATAAAGACCTAACACTGAAAAAAAAAGGTTTCGCTTTTGAATCATTTAGTGCCTACACCAGAATCTAGGAGCCCGGCAGTCACTGGCTGGTGGGCTAGGTCAGACCTGGGACAGTAGTAGAGATAACTGTTGTTGCTGATGTGTAGATCAGCTTAAATACAGTACATGTTTTTTTATGAAACACAATCTAAATTACAAGCATAGGGAGTCACTGTTCGGGGAAAAGCTCATGAGTTGGCAGCCCTCCTTCCAACGTAGGCCTACTTCATTAACAATCAGCTGAATTGTATTGTTGCATTGTTGTTTGTATAAATTAGTGTAATGAGGAATTGATTGTAAATAATCGTTAACATTGAGTTTTGCAAGCTCAAAGATCATGAATTGTATAAGAATATCTACATTTAAGTAAATCATTTGATTCATTTCAAGAAATATTTGCAACAAAAAATGAATAACAGTACCGTAGAACCCCACTAATACGATCTCGGCTACGCTAAGCAGATTTTTGTGAACAGAATTCCAACCTCATTTTTAGACCGATTTTGATGATTAAAGTGTAAAAAATGTCCCTGAACTGTAGTTTTGCCAGGGGTTTTCATTTTTTGAAATCTTTATTAGTTTTGGAAGGATATTCCATCAAAGTCTGGTTTTCTCCCATCAGGTTAACATGGGGGAATCTATATATTTAATTGGAAACTTTGTCTCCACTAATTTGAGAAAACGGCTGGGCGTAGAAGCTTGGTAGAGGTGTCTAAAGAAAGACCTTGGTCTGTAGATGTGCCATCAAAAAGAAAAAAATTTGGAAATTCCCTTGGGCTCCGCCCCTGTGACTATAAAAAATTCCCTCCCCGGATTTGTTTACATTATGGCCATATGAATAATTTTTTACTACTTTTTAATGAAACAGCTGTTCATATTTAAGCTGTATTTATAACAACAAAGATTAGGGAGTTGAATTAGTAAAAAAGAAGTAGGGTGACTTGCCCAGTGAATGAACACTGCCTATGAAGAATATGACCGTTTTGTTCTAAAACATCTATAATAAAGGTTAAATTAAGACAGGAGTGAAAAAAATAGTTTAGAAAATATATAATTACTCTATTCTCCATATTAAATTATCAGTTGTTGTTGTTAATTATTTATGTTTATTTTGATGATCTATCTTGGACATGTTTTGAATTTTTGTTTTTAGCTTCTGCCACTATAAGAATTCTGCCTTTGCCTAAACGAAGAAATTTGTAGAACATTATTTCAGGGTAACTCAATGTCTTATTTCTGGTGATATACAATTACTAGGCCTAACTTGACTTATGGTTTTCTTCATGTCACTCTCTCGGGAATAATTATTGGGTACAGTTCCCCAGAGAACCTGCGATATATTATAATCGGATTAAATACCTATCAACATATATAGATTACTAGTGCACCTGTTGCTCGAATTTGAGCAGTTGCAAAGTGGATTATTAAAGGCGTTATTTCAAAACGAATAACAGTCATAATCTTCGATGACTTAAAAAATTCAACTCAATGATAACGTAATCAGTCACTCCACTCCAGTTATCGAAACTGAAATGGAACGCTCTTGTGTGTAATGTACTATGAACAGCTGTTTTAGTATGCAATTAATTACAATTATTCGTCTGTTAAACAAAATCTTTTCTTCATAAGAAATAGCCTACATTGGGATTTTGATGGCCTGTGGGGCAAAGCTCGAGGACTTTTATTACAGGAGTTGGTGAAAGGGGGCGTCTACACAAAAATACTTAATTTTGGCACATCGACTGTACAAATCCGTCCATTACTAACAGAGGAGCAGTGTTTTGTAGAAATCACCTTCATATATTATACAGGGTGAATTTTAAATGAGTTCCCCCACAGCCACCTCTAACACAAGGCCGCGACGTTCGAACTGGCAACGCCGCAATCACCCCCCCTCTGCGTCCGTCTTCACACGCGCTAGGCTATGAACATCAATGAGAGTATTGCTGCTCTGTATCAATGAATGAATGTATTTAAATTCGTAATAACATATTTTAGTAGATTTTAAGGTATGGTAAAATAGACAAAATTGGAATCTAGGTTGTTTATTTAGTGAAAAATTGCAACATACCACAATATGTCTAAAACTAAAAATATACAAACATAATATTTTTGGTTGCATTTATCGTATTGTAAGTACGATGAATGTGGAAATAGATGGACTTTACATATTTCCTTTGTTAATTGTGTTATTGATGTGTTATTCAACATAGTAAAAACTACTAGACAGACTGTGCTTAAATTTTACAAAATAAAGCTACTATACCAAGAATGGTAATGGTAATACAGTAGGACTGACTAACTTATTGCCACTTCAATATTTGTAGAGACTTTGGGATTTGTAGAGACTAACATATAACAATTTGTTCGAATCAAATTAATTTTCATTTTTCAATAGGAATATTACGTTTTAGTCTACCTGAGAAAAACATTAGTTAGCGACAACAAAATTTTAAGTTTTCATTTTGAAGGCATGCTGACTATAAATAATTTATTTTCTTTGAATAATTACTAAGCAAAACGTTTTTCATTTTGTAAACGATTTCAGAAGCTAGGCCTCCATATGGCTTTCCACAATATTAATAGAATTGTTTCATCACATCAACATTCAGACTGGAGTCGGAGAATATGATGCTTTAATTGTTAGATAGTGTAGTACATATTTTTTACTAGTAGGCCTACTAAACAGAAACACCGGTTTATTTCTTCGAAGTGCTAGTTATTTAAGTTATTTAATCACTTAACAACAGCTTTTATCAATAGATAGACAAATAAACAAGGAAATAGTACGGCTTGCTCATACCTAAAACTCGCTTCTCGCGTGTATATTTACACGAATCAAAGTCTTATTCTTAAATTTTTTTACAAATTTAATTTCATATTCGTGAAAATGTTTCACACAAAAACGAGAATTGTTTTAAGATGTCTAATTTGATCGAAGCATAGCAGGAAGCAATTGTTACTAACGCGGCGGATCACGTAGAATCTTAGAACACTGTATGTATTATTCATTTTTAATTGAGCTATCGTAATTATTCTTGCATCCAGGCACATCACATCTATCTGGCATGCTGTAGTAAGAAGTTTAATGTCATTAATAATGATTAAAAGTAGTAGAAACGCGATTATGTACGTCGGTACGCGACTCCTCCATTCACTGTAATGGTAAGACGACCGCGCACCAAGACACTGATGCGACGTTGCCGCTTTCACTCGCCGCGGCCTTGT